CCAGCATACTTCCCAAACTAGCAGTGGTTTGTCATTAAGGATCATGTTATCATTTGCATAGTGTGACAAGTAGGCAAGGAGCTATTTTCCACCCTTACATATAACCAATAAGGGCTAGATAAAAGTGCACACAGGGACTGCTGTTTTTCTGTGTACCCGCAGGAACAAGGGAAGAGGCCAAGACACATGGCTATATCCCTGCATCAGCCTGCAGAGTAGTAGTACATAAGAATGGCCATACTGGGTTAGACCAAAGGTCCATCTAGCCCAGTATCCTTTCTGCCAACAGTGGCCAATACCAGATGTTCCAGAGGGAGGGATCAAAACAGGTAATTCTCATGTGATTCCTCCCCAGTCACCCACTTCCAGAGAAACAGAGGCTAAGGACACCATTCCTACCCATCCTGGCTAATAGACATTGATAGACCTCACCCCCATGAATCTAGCTCTTATTTGAACCCTGTTTAATGTTCTAGCCTTCACCGCATCCTCTGGCAAGGAGTTCCACACGTTGAATGGAACAGATAATCTTCCTTTTGTTTGTTGTGTACAGATAATCTTCCTTTTGTTTGTTTTAAACCTGCTGACTATTAATTTCATTTGGTGACCCCTAGTTCTTATATTGTGGGAATAAGTAAATAACTTTTCCTTATTCACTTTTTTCTCACCAGTCATTATTTTATAAGACTCTATCATATCCCTCCTGATTCTCCTCTTTTCTAAGCTGAAAAGTCCCAGTCTCTTTAATCTCACTTCATATGGGACCTGTTCCAAACCCCTAATCATTTTAATTGCCCTTCTTTGAACCTGTTCTAATACCAGTATATCTTTTTTGAGATGAAGAGACCACATCTGTACACAGTATTCAATATATGGGCACACCATGGTTTTATATACAGGCAATAAGATATTTTCTGTCTTATTCTCTATCTCTTTTTTAATTATTCCTAACATTCCATTTCCTTCTTTGACTGCCACTGCCCACTGAGTGGATGTTTCCAGAGAACTATCCACAATGACTCCAAAATCTATCTCTTGAGAAGTTGTAGCCAAATTAGTCCCCATCATATTGTATATATAGTTGGGATTTTTTTCCCCCAATGTGCATTACTTTACATTTATCAACATTAAATTTCATTTGCCATTTTGTTGCCCAATCACTTAGTTTGGAGAGATTTTTTTGAAACCCTTCACAGTCTTCTTTGGTCTTAACTATCTTGAGCATTTTGGTATCATCTGGAAATTTTGCAGCCTCACTGTTTACCCCTTTCTCTAGATCATTTATAAATAAGTTTAATAGGATGGGTCCTAGGACAGACCCTTAGGGTACCCCACTAGTTACTCTCTATGCCATTCATACCATTGTTTCCTGTCTTTTAACCAGTTATCAATCCTCGAAAGAACCTTCCCTCTTATCCCATGACTTTAGTTAAGAGCTTTTGGTGAGGGACCTTATCAAAGGCTTTTTGGATATCTAAGTTTACTACATTCACTGAATCCCTCTTGTCCACATATTTGTTGACTCCCTCAAAAACTCTAGCAGATTAGTAAGGCATGATTTCCCTTTACAGAAACCATTTGACTTTTCCCTAACGAATTCATCCATGTGTCTGAACATTTTATTCTTTACTATAGTTTCAACTAAGTTGCCCAGTACTGATATTAGACTTACCGGCCTATAATTGCCAGGATCACCCCAAGAGCCCTTTTTAAATATTGTCGTCACATTAGCTATCTTCCAATCATTTGGTACAGAAGCCAATTTAAAGGATAGGTTACAAACCACAGTTAATAGTTGTGTAATTTTCCATTTGAGTTCTTTCAAAACTCTTGGGTGAATGTCATCTGATCCCAGTGACTTGTTACTGTTAAGTTTATCAATTTGTTCCAAAACCTCCTCTAATGACACCTCAATCTGGGACAATTCCTCAGATTTCTCACCTAAAAAAATTGCTTTGGTTTGGGAAGGACACATCATGAGGAACAAGATGCATCACCATTCTGGTAGCCACTGTACCTCTGTGGACTACATAGTCAGTGAAAGTATAGGGACTATATTGCTCTCCAAGGCCATGTCTACACTAGAAAATTATTTCGAATTCACTTTAAGTTTGACTTCTGGGCACCCAATTTTACAAACTCAAAGTTCTGTGTCCTTACTACGGGAAAGTATTGAATGTAGTTCGGGAAGGATCCATTAATGTAGACATAATACTTCAGTCTTAGAGCCTCAGGAAACACTCTGTGGAGCTGTGGAAAGCCTCCCAAAGGCCAATTAGTTTAAATTAGAAGCACCAGAGCATTCACACTAACATTATTTTGGACGTACAAGTTCAGGAATATCATTATTTCTCATGAAAAGCAGGACTACAGAGTTCTGATTCCATGGCCCCTTATTCCAAAACAACGGGCTTGGTAGCATGGATGTATCACTTACAAAATCAACCTTGATTTGAATTTCAGATGAAGTTCCAAGTGTAGATTAGGCTTCAGCAACTATCTGTTCCCTCCTAGTCAGGACTACAAGGACCACTGAAAACAGTGAGGCTACGTCTACACTATGAGTTTTGCCAGAAAAGGCAATGCAAATCAAGTCTGGATTAGCATTTTCTTGTGCTTCATTTGCATACTCTCTTCTGATCCATTTTTGCAGTAGGGGTTTTTGTGCAAAAAAGAAGTAGTGTGGACGTTCCTTTTTTTGCACAAAACCCCCTTTTTTGCACAAGATTGCTATACCTCATTTTTTGAAGGATAAGGATCTTGCACAAATAGGGGTTTTTGCACACGTCTTGTTTTTGCTCAAAAAACCCTAGTGCAAAAATGGATCAGAAGAGAGTATGCAAATGAAGTGTGAGAAAATGTTAATCTATGCTCCATCGCTGTGTCTAGACTGCATCCCTTTTCCGTAAAAGGGATGCAAATTAGACACATCGCAATTGCAAATGAAGCAGGGATTTAAACTGCAAATGAAGCAGGGATTTCCTCTGAAAAAAAGGAATAAGGGATCTTTCAGAAAAGGCTTTATTTTCCGAAAGATCCCCATCTAGACTGGCGCTTTTTTCCGGAAAGCTCCGAGCCGGAAAAAAGCGGCAGCCATGTTTATGCAAATGAAACGGGGGGGATTTAAATCCCCGCTTCATTTGCAATTGCGATGTGTCTAATTTGCATCCCTTTTACGGAAAAGGGATGCAGTCTAAACACAGCCCATTTGCATTGCCTCTTCTGGCAAAACTGATAAAGTAGACGTAGTCTGAGAGAAAGCCTGCTTTTCACCATGAGGTATTTAGTCTCATAGCTTCATTCTCCAGGGTTGACAATTCATCACCTTTCATAAAATAATTAAGGTTCTGATGAAAAGTTCAGGAAGATCAAGGAGGCAGTTTATTGACTTGGATATGCTGTGGAACAGGACCTTAGTATGGGAGAGAAGAAAAAATAGTCACTTCTGAGAAAAAGGAAAGAAAAAACAAAACTGTTGCATGCAGAAGTTGAAAAGAGAATTAAAAATAAAACTTAAGGGTGAGACTCCGTGCTTGTAGGAAAATATGATCTCTCTCAACATGAATATTAAAGAACTGTTCTCACATAGATACATATGGGAGTTATTTGCATAAAACCCTCCCTACTGCATCAATAAGAGATTAAACTCCTATATCGATGGGTGGAGGAATAATCATTAAAGGGTTTGTTCTCTTGTTCATGTGCATACTTATCTCTCAGTAACATTCACTAGAATTCAGCACTCAAGCATTAAAAGAGCAGATGCTAGTATTTGTATTTATGCATTAACTTTTATTTTAAAAGTTCAAGTGTATCACCCATACATATGGCATTGGTGGCACAGACACACACAAAAGAGAGAGAGAGAAGAATCAGGCCTGTGTTTTCCAAAAGATATAGTTTATCTGATAGTCTATTTAGAAAAACAACATGGTATCATTTAAATGATATCTTATTTTTATTGGGGGGGGGGAATTTCATGAAGAGATTTCAATTTCTGAACAAACCCTTTTTGAGAACTATTTTGAAAAATGTGGGGAACTTTTATCGTGAGCATATATAATTAAATAAATAAAGCAAGCTGGCAAATAAGCATGATTTCTTACACATAAGAACTGCCATTCTAGATCAAGCCAAAGATCCATCTTGCTTGGTATCCTATGTCTGACAATGAGCAATATAGGAAATTTTAGAGGAGCAAACAAAAAATACTATAGTGGGGGGAGGGGGGGAAATCCATGGGTGACGATTTTTTCCTAACCAAAATCAGTGGTTGGTTTATGCCTGGACAATGATTATGTGCATCTCTTGATAAAGTGTTCCATTTATATGTACTGTATTTGTGTATGTTCTTACTATATGTGTCCATATCTTTTTTTTAAATCTTGTTATCACTTGGCTTCACTGATAACTTGTGACAAACTTCAAAGATCAACTATGTACCATGTAAAAATATCATTTAATAACTTTTAAATTAGTTTCCACACAATTTAACTGAATGTCCCTTTGTTCCCATGGTATGACAAAGGGCAAATTGAAAGTTACCTGAATTATCATCTCTCTGTCATTCATTATTTTATAGTCCTTTATCATGTCCTCTTTTTCATCTTTTTTTCCTATTATAGTAGTTTACATCCACATCCAATAATGTTGTGGCCCATTTCTGAACCCCACATATCTCTGCTCTTTTAGAGGCTTCCTGAGATGAGAGCATCACTGAACACAATATTTACCATATTATCTATTTTCTCTCGCATTCTTTGTACTACTTAATATTTTGCTTACAGAACTTTTTTGGCTGCTGTTTCATGCTGAGAAGAGGATTCCACTGAGCTGTTCAATGATGCCAAATCTTTTTTCCTGAGCAGTAACTGTTAATTTAAGTCCTGAAAGTGACACTGTAACCTGGCTATACAACATTGTACTAAATCAAATGTATAGTGTAACAGAACACAAAATATTATACCTTGAAGCTACTCAAGAAGCGTGAAAGGCAAATTATTTATTTCCTGCTACAAATTAAGAGCACCAATTTTCTCTTCTATTTAATTTTCCATTCCTTCATACTAGATTTGTTTTGGTGTAACTGCGAGCACAATCAGACCTAGAAGATTTGTCCAGGTAATTAATGTGTTGAATTACTTCAGAATTCTATGTATTTTCAAAAGAATTGCATGATAGATAATAAATTAGTTTCTATCTTTTTATTAAACTTTTATAGTAATAGAATATCCTGCATTTTGCTACAAGATAAACCATACATATTATATAATTGAGAACACAAATATTCAGCACTACTGAATATAAAACTATTTTATATAGCTAAATATGCCTTTAGAAAAGCTTAACTTTAGACAAACAGGTTTGAAGATTTGTCCTTATTACAGTGTAATACAAAATTGCATACTTAGTGGTATAAATATTTGAAAGTTATTACAAAACTTGCTTTAATAAAATCTATTTAAGCACAAAAAGTTATGAAATAAAAATATATTGAAAATATATTTTATGTCTTCCCTCTAACATTATTCATTGAGTACTTTAAGTTTTTCTGAAGCCTGTTCTATAAAGCTCTGTTGGACACCAATCTCAATTAATTCCAATGCAAATAAACTGTGAACTTCAACCTACTTCAAGTAATAAGTGACAGAGAACTGGTCCTCAGATTTAACTCTTCATATTCTTTTAGCACCTCGTGGCTTGGATAATCTGTTAATACCCTGTACAATCCAAATAAAGTGCCACTAACTTCACTTCACATATGTCAAAAGGGTAATTAATTAAATCAAGCAGTTATGCCTACTTCATGGTTTATTTCTGGAATAGCAAAGGGAAATCTCTCAGTGAAAATTATCTTTATATGACACAGAATAATAAATGTATAATTCAACATACGCTCAAATCACCTGAGAATCATAGTTTTCTGGATCCAGTAGTACTGATTAATTTGAACAACACCAACTACTCACCTTACATCCCCCATAATACAGATAACAGTGGATGGAAGATGTTGCCAATGGGATGGAGGTATTCTCTGCCACGTGAACAGTGAAGCATTGTTCTTATCCAGATTTCTCACCCTTTGTTGTTCAGGCAAAGGCCGATCAGAATTAATGATAACATGCCTGTTACTTCATTCAGTGCATTTTTGCCACTTATACTTTTAGTGCAAACTCATAGCTACAGTATCTGTCAGCAAGAAGTGCAGGAGAAATTGGATAGTGTGTCAGTAACACAAAGCTTGGGCATAGAATTTGGAAAGTGAACACCACAGTGTAGCCATAGGGAAAAGTCTAATTATGGTATTGTGATAATATCTCCTATTTTGGCTGGGACAGTCAGGTTTTTTAAAAACCCTGTTTCTGCTATGCTGATTTTTTTTTTTTTTTTTTGCAAAAAATAGGAATTAACCCCCAAAAATGGGGAGTAGAGGACTGGGGGTAACAGGATGCCAACCCTATGCAAGGGTGAGGGAAGCAGGGCTCAGGTAAGGGGCAGCTAAGGCTCAGGTGAGAAGCAATGCCAGACTCAGTCCAGCATGCCAAGCGACATCTCCAGCTCTGCATGGGGGTACACTGAATGTAAGTGAGAAGCTGCTGTGGCTCAGACTAGCCAGTTATGATGTCCCATTTTCCCTTTGAGAAATACAGTCAGCCTGAATCGGGGTGGGTAATGAAATGGCGGTTACCCTCTAGCAGGCTGCTGTCTCTATATGTACCTGAGCCTACATAGGCATCAACAATTGCAGCTCCCATTGGCCACAGATAGCCATTCCTAGACAATGGTAGCAGCGGGAAGTGACGCGGAGCGAGACACTGCTTCCCACAGCTCTGTTTGGCTGGGAACAGCAATCCACAGTGAATGGAAACTGACATCTCCCATGCCTGTGGAGGCACAGGTAATTATAGCAGCGGCTATCTCTGGTGGTAGGCTTCCCTCTAAGCTGTGCAGCAGCACAGCTCTGCAGCTACTTAAACAGCCATGACCAGTCAAGCAACTTTGTGCAGGGAGCCCTGAGCCCCGACTTGGTGGGGCTGATTAAGCAGCTATGGAGCTGTGATGCCACACAGTTTAGGGGGAACCTTGCCTGGTGGACAAGATCCAGCCCGTGGGCCAGAATTTGCACATTTCTGTCCTAGATTATGGAGAAGAGATCCAAAGAACCATTGAGAGTTGGTTAAGTCTTCCTGTGGGCAGAGAACAAAATCAGGGAATTTTGGTGGATAGGGCTGATTTCCCTGAAGACTAGGCAGTAATAGTAACTTTGACCTTAATAATGTTAGAGACTATAAAGGAATTGAATGTGTTTAATCATCACTGTTTTTAGAAAATTGGACACCCACAACTCTCCAGTGCTCTGGATGCCTTACACTTCTGAAACCTGGTCTTTTTATTATCCAGTATAATGTGTTTAATGAAAGTTGAAACTTTCAGTAAAGCACACAAGAGATCTGATGGTCTTTTCTTTCTTTCAGGAAGAAAAAAATCCTGTTGGATCAATATCATGACAACAATTCCCAAACTTTTGATTTGTTATCAGATACACCAATGCTTTGAAATGGCTGCAGACTAGATGAGCAAGTGAATATAGTAAGCCATCTATTTTGCTTTAGAATTACATAATGTCATTGGACAAGTTATAGTAAATAATATATTGATTGCCTAGTTTAATCTAAAAAAAAATAAAAAGACCCATAAATCACCCTTGAGAGATTTAGCATGTTCTATTCTGAGATCACTGCAACATCCGGCAATAATGATGTAATATTGCAAACTGAAAATTGATTTTTTTTTCTTTTTGCTCATGGACAATTTTTGCATGGAAGTTTTGAATCTTTAAATTTAGGCCATACTCAGAACTAGTGTAACTGAATACAATGAAGTTCTTCCCCTTTATTTCAGGAATGAATTTTAAGGATGGGCATTATCATGGAAAAAGGTGACAGGATCTAAAGCATAGCACTGTCGTCAGAAGAAGCTAGAGAAGTTAATAGAAAATGTACATCTTTTACTTTGTATAGAAATTAAGAATAGTGGTTGCTGCAGATGGAAATTTGTGATTAATGTATTGTTTATGGGTCTTAGGCGAAATATTTGTGTTTTAAAGACATACTGAAGGCTAGACAATTACAAAAAAAAGTACAGAATGACAGTTCATTATAATTAGATCACAACAGAAAAAAAATCTTTCAGAGTAAGACAGACAACATTCACTTGAAACCCAATCAATAACTTTTAGTTGCCATTGTGTAACTCAGCAAAATAATTGCATGGCTCGCAAAAATATGGTAAAAATTACTGTAAGACTATATATTGACACTGATATAATCCTTGCACATGATTTACAAATACATTCACATATTGGGGCAGTGATGGCAAGGCTCACACTGCAGCCTTTAGTAAATAGGAGGTTTTGCTGAAATAATTACTTTATTGTAAGGACTTAAAATGGGCAACAGTGCAATTGTGTTAGTTTGGGAATAAAATATACCAGAGATTTTGCTGTGTAAGTATAGTTTTCATTGGCTATCAAGACATAATTTTGTAATTTAATTTAAAGTTGCAAAAACTCTAACAAATCACATTGTTACAAGTATATATGTGTGTGTGTGTGTGTGTATCTTTCGGAAAGATGAAAAATGACTGTTGCCTAATTACACAAGGTGCACAAAAGAAATATTTATGGTCACCACTAAATTATGCTTACATTATATGTTAAAAATATCTGTCTGAAGATAGCAATACCATTTTACTACTTGGAAATTCTCTTCCTACTAGGTAAAAGATAACTGTTATTTTTAACTCTGATTCATAGCTCTTAAAAAAAGCACCATAATGTAAACCACACAGACATATAATGAGGATTTACAAGAGGTACAATAAGAATTTACATGTTGTAAATTCTAAGTACATAAGTTATCATATGATTAACCCTAACACCACTTGTGATGCCAATTCATCATTCCTCATGTGAGTAGTTCTTAATCTTGCAGCAGTAACACTCATGTTAATATGACTTTCTGTGTGTGAACAGGGACAAGTCAAGTGAAAGGCTTAGGCCTTTTACATGTATATTTCAATATTACAAAATGTGGTGGTTTACTTCATTTTATTTTAAAAATATTAAGACTTGTTCATGTAACATGTTTCAAAATACAGTTTTCATAATAATAATGCAATTTTTCTTTTAAAAGCAAACTTCCTGAAATTTCACACTTCTAAAAAGGACAGGCAGTAAAAATAAATAAATAAAGGATGAAAGTGTTTTTACTTTATGAAAAACCCGAACAGATTTATAAACAAATATATGTATGAGTTAAAGGAGTTAAGAGATACAGGCTTTTTCTAGGATCATAAAGGTTAATAGTCTATTTGAATGCTGCATATAAACTCCTCCTCCCCCCCTTTTCTTTTCTGTGGGAAGAGAGGAAGTGCCTCTTTATAAATAGTGAAAGGGAAAATATAATTTCTTATGTGTCAGTAATGGGGTTCAACACCACTAAATTCAATTAGAATATCAGCATTAAAAATTATTTTTCTGAGTTTATCAGCTTTTTAAACATTACATTTCAGCATGCCTGCATTGCTGCCAAGTAGCCTTACTTATGTTGTAGCTTATATGCACTATCACACTTCAACTTTAAATAAATAGTACAAGCAAAAATGCTGCTGTAATAATGTGGTACGCTACTTTTTCTGCTTCTGGAATGAAGCAGATAAATGGAGATTACTTAATGTTTATAGCTATTCAAGGTATTTGTACATTTGGAATAATGTTATGCAGCACATGACTTTTAGATTTTGACTCTGAAGAAAATTAATTGCAGTGGTCAGAGTAATAAGGTCACAAAATGCAGGATGGGGACTTAATTTGTCTCCCTATTTCACCCAGTCATCTCACTGGCACTGGCCACAAGCAGCACCAGTCAATGCATTTTAGAATCAGCATTTAGCTCCACACACACAAATCCCTACTCTTCTCCGGACGCTGAGAATTCACAGAAGCAAGCAACGCATCTTCAATAGCAAATCCTTAAACGGAGCAGAGCACTCTGCTAAACATGCCAAAGGTTAAACGCTGCTGAAACAGCTACATTTCATCTGCCTACGCTTCCCAGTTCCATTCAATTACCAAACAGCAGCAGCCCCGTAATACAATATAACACCCTACTATTGAATCAGAAATTTACATTTACATCCACTTCTAGCCTAGAGGAGGGCCTGAATTCACCAGTCAATACTCGAGCAAACCAACCATAACTTCCCAAACACCCACCGTTTCCCCTATCTACCTTGAGGAAGAAGCGAGGAGGAGCCCTCAGAAAGATTTCAATTTTACAAGTTTGTTCTTATGAATCACCCTAGGGCTCCACTCCTCTTTTCAGCCACACATACAGACACCAAGGCAAACATCAGGCATGTCTTTTGCAAATCCTCTCTAATTCCTACTTTGCTCACTACTTCCCAGGCTGACCTTACATCCCCTCGGTCCCAGGCGAAATCTGTTAGAGATTTATGAGCCCCCAAAACTGACATCTTCTCTAAATCCTGTCCATTAAAATCCATGAAGAAAACAATGCCCGATTTTACACACTTGGAAATATTTGAAACCCCCAAGCCTATAGAAACTTTGCAACAACAAGCAGCCCCCAACTTCTTATTCTGCATTCGTCTCTTGCGTGCAGAGCCCATTTTGATCCGGAAAGCTGCTGAAATCTTTCCTAAGTGTCTCCTTTGCACTGACTGGGTGGAGGTGGGGGCTAAGAAGCCCACAACTTTGCACCTTCTTTTTTCCGGCCAGTCCCCCTCCCCAACAATTAGACGACCGTTTCCATTCCAACTGAGCTTCCTCCTTACCTGGTCGAAGAGTCACAAAAGTCACCAAGGAGAACACGATGTGTCCTTTTGCAAGAGCGGTGCATGCAGCAATATTTTTCCCCCCACGTCCAAACTGAGATCCCGAAAAGGAAGCCTTTGGGAAAACACTTCAGGTAAAACTCTGAAGCAATCTCCAGGAACTCGTCTAGCAGGGCGCCCCGGAGCAGCACAGCGGGGGGATCTCTTCCAGGGCCGATTAGCTCCTTTGCCAAGTTGCTCCTAAGTGGGTGTGGGTGGAGCGGGAAGGGGTGGAGGCGGTGGAGCCTTTGAGGAGGGCGAGGAGAGGGGCCGGCGTGCGCTCCCAGGTTCAGCACCAGCAGCGCCGTGGACAGCACCCAGCTCTGCTCACCTCCAGTTTGTTTCAGGCACTGAACCCGCCTGGCTCTCCCGCCTCCTCTCTCCCCGGCGCTGCCACTCAGCCCCGGCGTGTCCCGCCTTCCCCCTCCCCAGCCGCACGTCAGCCCTGGCTCTTCTCTCATTTGCACGGACGCCGAGGAGGAGGGGGCAGGCGCGGGCATCAGGAGCAGCCGGCCATAGCGGGGACAGCCAGAAGCTGACCGCCCTGCCTGGCCAGCCGTAGCCCTCCCACTGCAAAGCTCCAGCCCAGCCCACGAGCAGCCTCCGCTCAGCAGGCTGCTCCTTCTCTTCGCATTCGGATGGTCGCTTGTGTGCGCCCAGGACTCAGGGATCAGCAGCCTCACAGAGCTGCGGGAGCCTGGCTCCCTCTGCACGTCCAATTGCCTCGTCGTGTGCACGTGCTGAGAACTGTTTGGGGTTGTAGAATGGGGTGAGAGACAGGACCCCCTTCCCTTACTTTGGACCCCTAATAAGTAACTAGCGCTTCAGCAGCCTAGCTGAGGTGTTACAATACTGCACCCACCATCCAGCCCCCTCCGTTGAGTCTCCGAGGCAGCCAAACCAGGCGCTGATCGTCTGCAGGGGCGAGGGGAGAGAGATTAGTGTATGTACGTGAGAGATTTTCCAGCGTGGGGAAGGAAGGAACAAGTACAATCAACACAACCTAGCAAACAGGTTCATCTTGAACTGCTTCCATTCTAAAGGCAGCATGTATGCTATGCAATATGTATTAGATGGAACAGGTCAGATGGCTAATTGAGATTATGTCTACACACCAGCTTGTTTCGCAATAATTGACCTGAATCTGAAATAACAAAGCATGTCTACACCGCAAGCCATTATTTCAAAACAACATTGAGTGGGAGGTCTTTTTACTCCTACTCCCATAACCCTCATTTCACCAGGAGTAAGGGAAGTGGAAAGAAGAGTGTTCTTCCTTCCACTTCCTGCTGTGTAGCCAGCATCAAAAGCTGAATTAAGCAATTTCTACTTCAGCTACACAATTGCTGTAGCTGACCTCACATAGCTTAATTCAAGTTTTCAAGTGTAGACTACCTAGAAAGACTAAGTATGGTGGAAGTCCTTGCACAGCCTGTAGCAGTAATCCCTACTCTACACACACACACACACACACACACACACACACACACACACAGAGAGAGAATCATGTTTTAGTGGTCCAATTGTGAGCTCGAGTTTTCACTATGGTAAGAATGCTAGCATCTGAGGCTGTAGTCACAGGTAGGATTTGTTTTTTTTAGTTAATGCACATAAGGAAAAACATGACCAAATCCATTAGGATAAATTTAAACAATCTAGTAGCACCTTAAAGACTAACAAAACATATAGATGGT